ATCTTTTTGTGCTATACTGAATCCTGCTAACTTTTTTACACTTTCAGCTGCTGATACTGAAACCAATGGGCACTTGATTGTAATGGACTGCAATGGGCCCTCAAGAGAGCCTATCCACACTTTGTAAAAAGGTCTCATTATAGAGTAACCTCTGGGTATTCTGAAGATGTAAATCCGAAAGGCATGCAAGCACACCTACAGAGGGAGGTTAGCAAGTCAAGTCCATTGCAGTGGCCGGGCGTGCTGTGATATTCTTGGGTGTTTTATGGTTGGACAAGGTATAGATGAAACCTGATAAGGACTGAAAAGTCTACAATAGTCTACCTATAAACATAAAACAATGGTTAATGATTTCGAACAAAGGCATATTGTATGAGCTGGAAAAGAAATTCCCAGAAGTCATAAGGTCATCGAACCTTATTGTTGGCCAAGGGGGCCCCACAGGCCCTCCACACAAGATAGGCTTTTGTTACTGATACTGTTTATCTGCCAGAACTAAATGGTAAGAGCCTATTGTTGATGATACCACACTACATATCCTGGCTGTAGGAGAGAGAGAACTCCATCTGAAAATGAATAACAATCCAATGAATATAGAATCCATGATTACATACCACTATAAATAAATGAGGAAGAAGAGCAAACTCTTCCTTGCAGAATGCAGGTTTAAAAAATGTATATGGAATGATGGAATATAAAACTTACCATCTGCCACCAATCAGGGTATGGGAGTGGTGTTTGTAAAAAACAAAAAGCCAAGGTCATCAATGTGAGTAGTAGTAGTTCATTAGAGAACAAGATACTGGTGTAATTTTTGGATCTGTCCCATATAACACTAATGTAAAGGGGCAATAATGGCTTGGAGGAGAAAAGTTGTAGGATGGGGAGGTAAATTTGGATTTTAGGTAGAATGTTATGTTATTAAGTTCTACTGTGATGAGTAAGTCCGAGGGTGGTGATAATTAAAGTGGTTCATTTTAAGTTTTATGGTATTGTCATTACTGGGGTATTTACAGGGGGAATGTTGTTTGAGATTAGAAATCCAGAGATAATGCTGTCAAATGCTAGGCAGTTAATAGCAATAGTGGGTTGTGGGTTATTTTCAAAACAATATGGCCAGGTTATCAAGGTTAAGATGATCAATAGAGGTGACTGGTACCAACATCACAAAAGTATTTTGTGATATTTCCACCAAGAAAGCACTGCTTCAGTCTGGTCATGGAGACAATATTAGATGAGCCCTGGCTGAGGGTCAAACCCCAGAACATGCATCACAAACACTATAAAGCTGTCAAGGACATCAAAGATAAAGAAACACTGAGGAAACGTTCCAGACTTGAGGAAACTGAAAAGATAAGACAGTGTGTTTTTCTGAAAGAATTGAAACTGGTAAGATCTGAATGGTATCCTTGAATGAACAGAAAGCATTGCTGTTACCAATGCTTATTGCCAGGCTTGCATAGTTGATGGGAGAAAAATAAAACAGGGTACACAGAGGTCGAATAGAGCATTTACTCACAGCTTTTCACATGGGTTCAAAAGAGATGACTTAGCCAAGTATGGTGGTACACACCAGTAATCCCAGCTCTCAGGTAATACAAGTGGGAAGATCAGGACTTCAAGGCCATCCTTGGCAACATAAATTAAGACTAGCCTGAGCTACATGAGATCCTGTCTCAAAAACAAAAATAGGAGCGAGACTGGGGGATAATGGGTATAGACAAGAGTAGAGAAAGGGATATGTTAAGTGTTTGGAAAATGTACATGAGGGCAATGATCAGCACTTTTGTACCATACTGTAACTATTTTTTAACTTTCAGAGGAATTTTTTTTTAGCTCTATAACTTGAATGAAAGCAAAAGGCAGTGGCTTTCTTTCTGTCACAGGCAGAAGAAAAAGAACTAAGAAGACATAGAAAGTGAATACTAGTTTCTTAAGCAGTGTTCAGCACGTGTGTACACACAGACGCACAAACACACAAAAGAAAACAAAATGGTAGCTAGAGGCCCTAAAAGGACTGACAGAAAGGCTTTACACTTTCCAAGAGGGGAAACGAGGATATTTTATAAAATACTTTGTTTAGGGCAGCAACTATTTTTGCATAGAAATGAAGAATGATTCTCCTCTCTGAAACATTAATAAATTCCTACCTATCACTGCACAGACCATGTATGAGAACCTACACAGTGAGTTTAAGAAAAGCAATTGCAGGGTGGAGAGATGGCTCAGCAGTTAAGAACACTGTTCTTGCAGAGGACCTGGGTTCAATTCCCAGCACCCACATGGCAGCTACAATCTGTCCTTAGCTCCAGTTCCAGGGGAATCCGAAGCCCTCTTCTGACCTCCGTGGCATTGCACAACACGGGTGCACTCACATACATGCAGGCAATACACTCATACAAATAAAATAAAAATAATAATTAAAATATTTTAAAAAGAAAAGCAATTGGCTGGACAGCTTTTAGGTTTATACAACTCATACTACTTGTAATTAATTTTCCTGATTTCTGAAATGAAGAAGCTAACTTAGATTATCATTTGAAAAAAGCATAAAACTAGTATTAAGATATCTAGGTATATGTATTAAGTAATAAAGGTATGAGCACTGTCTTACTGGCTGATAGACAAATGTATGACTAAAGGTAGGCCAAATCACTCCAAATACAAGGTCTATAAAATAAACCATAGCTGCACAGCTTCCAAATGCCCAGCTACCCTTGCTACCACTACTTTAAAGTGCTTTTGAACAAGTGCATCAGTAAAGATAAGAAATCAATCTGCCAGGCGTGGTGGCACATACCTTTAATCCCAGCACTCAGGAGGCAGAAGTAGGTGGATCTTTGTGAGTTCAAGGCCAGCCTGGTCTACATAATGAATACTAGAACAGCTGGGACTACAAGGAGACCCTGTCTCAAAAAGACAAAAAAAAAAGTAACCTTTTTTTTTAATTTCTATGGCAGACTGAAGAAATAGCTAAACCTTAAGCTTAATACTGTCCTTTAAATCTAAGACTTTAAAAAATATTTTATTTATGTGTGTGTGTGCATGTGCATGTCATAAACATATGAAGGTCAGAGAACAACCTGAGGGAATCAGTTCTTTCCTTCTACCGTGTGGGTCCCAGGGACTGAACTTAGATCACTAGACCATCAGGCTTGGCAGCAGGTACCTTTACCCACTAAACCATCTCTTCAGGTCTCCTAACACCTCATCTTGTTCAAATATCTTATCTTTGAGGAAGGAAAAGGGAGGGTTAGATACAGAGAGAGAGATGCTTAAGTGATGTGAAAAATCAGAGGGAAATGTATCAGTTCAAAAGCCCACTGAAAAATATACATACAATATCTGTACACAAGTATATGTATATAGCTGAAGGTTATGTAACAAGAAACACAGTGCCTGACAGGAGAAACCTCCCTTCGAGTTGTTGGTCAAGGTAGTTCAAGAGTCTCAAAATAACAAAGGCTATTGCCACAGTCCTGGATTGCCTCCCAGAACTTGAAAGTAAGACCCTATGACTGAAGACAGGACATACTTCGGACACAGGACTTGAAGCAATGGAGCTGGAACTGACCTGGAAGCTTCCTCCCTGAAGACTAGCTCTCATAGTTCTAGAGGATACTATGCAAACTACTACAGGGGGAAAAACCAATAGCCCAACCCCAGCTTTAAAGTCCATTAATTACAATGACCATCATAGCTAACTATCTCTATTGGTGCAGTAGTGGCACTTTTATCTTGGGGATAAGCAACAGCTATCTAATTGGACTTAAAGCCTATTCAGTGGGAGGGAACTCATGTATGGTACTGTAAATACTGCCAAATACACATGGCTGGAGAGATCACAGATCTTAGAGAAAACCCTATGTTTGTCAAACGCCTAGACAAATGTAATTTCTTACTATATGCTAAATATGGATCCTTATATTTACAGACAAGGATACTATTCACCACGCCAAAGAAGCTTCTTTTTGCAATAGATGGAGGCTACTACAGAGTTCCACAACTGCTCAAATACAGAGAATAAGTTTCTGTGAGACGCCCAGGCCTAAGTGACACAGCTACAACAGAACCTCTAATACCTAAGGCTCATGGAACATGGCAGAACAGGGGTAGAAAGAATACTAATGCATCTCTCAACTCTTACCAGCGAACGGCTAAAAATGGCATACGTCTACAGACTGGTTAACAGGTACTGCACATCTAGGAATATACCAGACACTGAGATAAGTGGTAAACAATAGGGTTGGCAAACTTTTCATGCAAAGGCCCAAAACAAATATTTTAGATTTTATGGTCTACATGTATTTCTGTTAAATATTCTTTTCTTTCTTTTCCATTTTTTTTAAAAAAGACAAGGTCTCATGTAGCCCAGATGACCTCTAACTTACTTTGTAGCTATAGCTGACTTTGAACTCTGATCCTCCGATTGCTAACTTCCAAGTGCTGTCATTAAAAGCACATATTACCTCGTCTGGCTTTCTGTCACATATTCTTTTGTGAGGTTTTGTTGCTATTGCTTTATTTATTTTTTTAATGTAAAAGTCAGTCTTAGCTCCTGGGTTCAAATCCCAGCACCCACATGGCAGCTAACAACTGTCCGTAACTCCAGTCCCAGGGGATCCAACAGCCTCTTCTGACCTCCGCATTGCACAACATGGGAGCACTTACCTACATGCAGGCAATACACGCATACACGTAAAATAAAAACAATAAATAAATTTTTTTTTAAAAGTCAGTCTTAACTAAAGTACCTTATGAAAACAGGTTGAGAATCATATCTGGCCCACAGGCTGTGGTTTGCCTATATCTGTTATAAATAGGTCAAAAGAATCCAATTAATAAAAGGGGACTATTTTTTACATATATGTAAGTAAACAAAGGCTACCAATAAATACTAAATATAAAGATACCTAATAAAGAGATAAGAAAAAAGGATTCTTAAGACATGCAAACATTGTAAGAAAATGATACTAAAAATAAAGATTACATATACATACTCTGGCGTATACACAGGTAGCCAATAAACTAGTCTTCCACCCAATATGAGGGTCTCTGCTGCAAAGTTTAACAGGTCAAAAAACATATCACTCAGGTGATAACTCAAGGAAACAGGAACATGGCTTTCTGGACTAACAAAGAACAAAATATTTCAAAATCAGTAAAATATTTAAGGTTGCATAAAATAATTATAAATAAGTGTTTCAAAGTAGAAACTCATTACACATAGGAACGACTTATAAAAAAATGGGCAGAATCTACAATGTTTAATTAACCTTGCAACCAAAAAGCTATTGCAAACAAACTCACTGAGCCATGTGCTCTAGTGACCTGGGTACCTGTCCCTGATCCCTTGGAACCTCAGTTTGTTGCTCCACCCAAGATAGCAAATGAATGTGGGTATGCTTAAGAATTAATAAATCAAAGCACTGAAAGGCAACACATCTTCACTGAAAACAATGAAGACTGAGAAGAATGCTTGACATTATATGAGATGTTTTAGGCCAAAGGATGAAAAGGCAAGAGTGTCTGATAAGAAAAGGGTTGGTCCCAGCTTATGGTTCCCCAGTTGAAGCTGGTTTTGAATAAAAATTATGGATGAGGCCTGACTCAGCAGCATAGGTCCAAAAGACATCTAGAGGAACAGGTGCCCTCTGAGATTGGGCCCACTCTTATAACTAAAGAGTCAGGCTGTTTATTCAGATATCAGAGCAATGCCACAGTTACATTTAATTTCACTTACCATTTTTCTATTCCCTTTGGTATTTCCTTCTGTGAGCCTGTTCTTCTTGTAGATTCTCTAATACCATATGGAGCTAGAAAGAAAAAACACAAATAGACAAAAGTCACCCAATCACCAATGAGGGACAGAGACATCAAGTGCCTTCAGATGTCACAGACAGAGAAGGACAAAAATATCACTTATGCATCATTCCACCCAAAAATACATAAGGTAAAAAGCTAAGGGAGCACAAGTATGTCTTCCAAAATGTCAATGTTATAAATAAAGTCACAGTAAGTCTATGAAGTATTTTAATTAATGGAGCCCAAGAGATAACAGTACTAAATAGGATACTTGGCTCTGAAGTGGATCATATATTCAAGGAAAAGAAAATAGTCCATAAATATTAGTGAGTCACCTGAAAAAACTGCATGACAAACTGTACTATATCAATTTACTAAAATTGATAGCTGCACTGTGGCCATGGTACTATCTTTATTGTTAGGAAATTCACACTAAAGTATAGGGGTAAAAAACCACAGGTACCCCAACTTTCTGTCAAGTTCACTGGGAAAAATATCATGCATTTTGTATTAGTAAATATATCAGGAGAGAAAATAAATTTATAAAAGGTCATTCAATTTTCATAATGTATATTTACAATGTCACCTTAATGCCTTGGTAACTTTTTTTCTGTTGGATTTGAAGCCACCTAACTTACCAAAGAACAAAAAAGGGCTGAGATAGCAGGTCTTAACTCGGCACTATTTATATATTTATTTTCAATCCTATTGAAAAGGCAGATCTGTTTACACAGGCTGCCTCAAAAGTCTAAGACTTCATGAGGCAAAAAACCTAAGCTCTCATGTACTTTTCTAAAGCTAACAGATTCACAAACCCAGAGGTTCATATAATTTGAAATTTCCTTCAAGTCTAGAAAAGCTATGCCAGGAAAAACAAGTACAAAAAAAAAGCCACAAAGGTTTACCTAACAGAGAAATGATGCTGAAACTCTTTTTTGAGATTGATACAGTACTTACGACATTTTAGCTCTATTGATATACTAATGACTAATCACAATCAACAAAAAACATACCTCAAAAAAATTAAAAGGGAATGACAAATTATTATTTATGGATATAAATAAAAATGGGAAATTAATATATTTGTTAAGACAAAATAATAAAATCATAATTAAATTAGCAACTGGCCTTAGATTCTTTTTTTCTTTTTTTTTTTAATCTTTCCCATGTGAGGAAGTTGAGTGCTGGAGGAATTCTGGTACAAGCGTGCATTTCATGTATGTATTGATCCCCCTCTTACTTTTATATAAAAATAAACTTACGATCAGTGATGATTGCATCAAAGTATGTTCCCTTCCTCCAGGAAGGTTTAGATGCATCCGAAACCAAGACATCAAGGTAATACTTCTCTAAACCATACTGACGAAGATTTGCCCTGATGTTCTCATCTGGTCCTCTCCATTTCTGGTTTTTCCTAGTAGCCTTTCCTAAAGGGAAAAAAAAAAGAAAGTAGAAAGTTATCTGACCAAACAGACCATTCTTATTTTCTTTAGTTTAGCCGAAAATACTATTTTACTCATGTAAATCCACACTTACTCAGATAGACTGTGCTTTCATTTGTATTCTATTTATTAATTAATTAATTTATTTATTTATTCATTTAATGTGTATAAGTGGTTTTGGTATGTAAATGCACTTATGTATGCAATGCCTGTGGAGACCAGAAGAGGCCGCTGGTTCCCCTGGAACTGGAGTTGGGGATGGTTGTTAGTTTCCATGTGAGTGCTAGAAATGAAACCCCAGTCCTCTGGAAGAGCAGCCAGTGCTCTTTATCACTGAGCCATCTCTCCTGCCCCTTGTATGTAATCTTAATTGTATGCATACAATTAAACCATGATTTCAACTTATTAAAAAAATATATTTTGAACAGTATTGCTACCTAACTGACCTTGTTCTGTGACTTCTGAAGTAAAACTATTTGAAAACAGTCAGCATTTTCTAAATATACAGGATTCACCAGTAGGATATGTAACAGAAGAATGTGGTCCTTTCCTACAGCAGTAAACAGCCCCATGTAGAAACTAAGTTTGATCAGATAATGAAAAGGAAATGAAGAATGCTGACTCAGAAAATACAGCAGCTTTGACCATGGAGAAAGGCAAGAAAAATGCAAACATTACTGATGAAAAGTCAAAGTGAGTGTTGAGAGAGTGTGGAAGAAATTCAAAAGCTTAGAGTTTTAGGAGACATCAATGGATGATGAGCTGTGCGTGGTGGCACATGACTTTAATCTCAGCACTTGGGAGGCAGAGGCAGAGGCAGGTAGATATCTGTGAGTTTAGGGCTAGCCTGGTCTACATAGTGAGTTCCAGGCCACCTGGGGCTTTAGGGAGACCCTCTCTCAATAAAAGACCAAAAATAAATAAATAAATAAAAATGGATGATGAGGCCTATGATTAGATCAGAGACACCAGACAGAAAAAAAAAAAAAAAAAAAAAAGTAAGCTTAGGGGTAAAATTTGAGGTATATAGTCATGATATATCTAGAGGTACTTGCACAACATTCAGAAAGGGATATTCAGCTGAAAAACTCATACACTTGGGAGTTATCAGTATATAAACAAGTTGAATCTGTGTAAATACAATTCCTTTAACCTAGCGATATAAGAGCTTATGTATGTAATTATTCTTATATATTTATATACTTCAGTATTATGATCAAATTTACAATAAAAACAAAACTTAAAAATCAAAAGAAGGATGACATGACTCCAAACAACATTCAGTGTGACAAAAACATGGATCAAAGATGAATGCCTGGAGAAAAATAATACACAGAGATGAAAGAAAACCACAGAGTCTTAAAGAGACTAAGATAAAACAGTGAGAGGAAAAGAACTACCACCCAATGAGAACGCTCCCTAGGAGAGCAAGGGAGGCTTATGAAAGGCAACAGGCCAAACATCGCAGCTCTGTGGCCTTAGCAGGGGTTTCTGCTGCCAGAAACAACAGGCTCAGTAGCTAGAAAATCCTAAGCAGATGAAAGAGTGAGCAATGAGAGAGGAGACAACAAAAATGTGAAGTCTCAGGCGACAACTGGGGCAAAAGAAAGGAATGGAAGAAACCAAAAAGGCACTACAGGATCCCTCCTGACTCACAGAAAAGGTTTTGTACTTTCAAAATAGGAGATACATGAGAATATTTTGGAATACAATCTAAGAGATTAGAAATACAAGAAACAGAGCACATACCTAGCAGCATCTTAGATAAGCTCTGAGAACCCTCTCTTTAATCAGAGTTCTACTCCAGTAGACTGAAGGCTATTAAATAACTTTTCAAACTTTAATAAATAAAATTTCAAAAAAAACTCTATAGGAGATAATTTCCTTGAAGGAAATATATTGCTTCTATCAACAACAAACTAGAATAGGTCTTAGCACATTGCTTATTCTAACATAATGTAAACAAGAATATCCTTTTCTAGTTAGCTCATTTACAAAAACCATTAAATACAACTCATTTTTTCTAAGTATTACTAAGTTCCTTATAGTCAAGGTAGGAAACAGGCCATCAGTACACTATATCTATTTGCTTCAGGAAAACAAAATATAATAAATTCTCACTTTTAACCTAAATTGGGTGAAGTAAAGAGCTGACTCACATTATAATAGTGGAGTATTAATACAGAGACAAACAATTTCCAAAGCATGAACAAAACATGATATTTAATACCATTCACCTATAAGGAATATACATTTTTAGTTTGACTCAGCTCTATCCAAACTCACATTAAATCACTAAATTTAAAATTTTTAAGATGTTTTCCATAATCGCCACAAAAAAAAGCATATTCTTGTCTCAAGTTACCCTCACTTAAAGGCAGAATTTTTAAACTTACTGTCACCTTAAGTGTTTCAAATATGCTTCAGTTAGTTACAATAGTGATAATCTTAAACTACATATGGTTTCTTAGCATGTACTTGCTGACTGCAAAATGACTACTTCATCTTTTTCTTTTTTTTCCCTCCCAATCCTGGGGTTCACAACCTTAGAGTTTGCCTTTTTCTTTTAAACCTCTTATTAAGACTACAAATCCTTCTTGGAGGAGGGTTTGTCTCTTGTCTTTGTGTGCCTCTATATCATTTTGCATATACTGAATCACTTCATAAAATGCAGATACTCAATGAAATTTTGTGGTAAAAATAAATAAAATTATATTAAAATGTCTATAAAGCTACTTTATTATTTTAAGGCCCATTTAGTTCAACAGCAAAGACTTCAATACCGCAAGTTCTACTCACCCAGGCCATGCACTGTGTTGTAGTCTATGTCCGTCCCACAGACATATGCACCAAAATGAGCAGATGCTATCAGGAGGCCACCTGGAAAAATCACACAATTAAGATCTGTTACCCAGAAAATCCCAGACTAGTGTTCCTTTCCTAATTTAATTTGATCCAGCCTTATAAACTAGCTGCAGGCAGCATACCCTGGAACAACACCAATCCTAGTCAAATGTAGTAACTGAAAACATAATCCCTGAGCTGAACTCACTAGATTGGCCACAACGCAGGGAATTAAGGCACACCCAGCCATCGTCACGTCACAAAACACCTCTTAGGGAACATTATTTTTTTTTTGATCAAAATAATGTATATTTAGACATTTTCATGTTATCTTAAAAAGTTTATTCAAAAGTATATTGCTCCTTTCTTAAAAGTGGACATGTAAATCTGCAAATGTGTAGACTAAAATAAATTCTGATAACTGGACTTCAAAGTTCCAAACTACTAAAGAGAGCATAATTCATATGTGCAATATTAAATTTTACAAGTTAAATTTGTCCTGTTTTAAAATGTTGTCATGTCTCAAATCAATTAAGTAATTATCTCTTGGTATAAGCTGTAAACATGAATTTCTGAGTAAGTTACCCAAAATACCCAAATCAATTAATACTATTATTTTTCTATTTAATCAGTATAGGGTAAAAATAATGTCTCAAAATAATTTAACCAGACTAAGTAATTTAATGACTCTAACTAATTCAAAAATAAAGAAAAGTCCTAATAATTAAAAATAATGAAACTAAGGGCTGGAAGAATGGCTCAGCAGTTAAGAGAGCACATACTGCTCTTGCAGAGAACCCAGGTTAGGTTCCCAGCATTCACATCAGGCAATTCACAGCTGCTTATAACTCCAGTTCCAGGAGATCTGACATCTCTGGTCTCTGTAAGGAGGTACCTGTACTCATATGCAGGTACCCACATACAGACATATACACATATACATAATTTAAAATGATAAACATAAACCTTAAAAAATAATAAAACTCAAATTTTAAAAAATGTTTAAATTTTTAAGGAAAAAAGAACCACAAAGTTAAATGCTAATAATTTTACTTTTCAGTAAGCTGTATCTTTTTATGTATTCATATTTAAATATTTTTAGTGTTTGATCAAGTCCTAATTAACTACAACATAAAATGCTGTCAGTGAAGCAGAAATGACAAATATACTCTTAGACTAAAAAGTAAGCACAGTTTTTGACAGGGGTAAAAACTAGGGATCTTTCTTGCTGCCCTTTGAATTTTTTTTTTTTTTTTTTTTTTTTGAGACAGGGTTTCCTTTGTAGCCCCAGCTGTCCTGGAACTCACTATGTAGACCAGGCTGGCCTCAAACTCACAAAGATCTACCTGCCTCTGCCTCCCAAGTGCTGGGATTAAAGGCATACGCCACCCTTTGAAATTTAACCTCCAAAATTAAGATGGGTAATGCCTCCAGAGGGTGAAGATCTGCACATTAATGATGTTCTATCTACAGCCATTTAAAAAATAGTCTGGGATGATTACTTTAAAACTTTTATTACTTTGTTCATAAAAACACACTAAGTAGTCTTCTATTGGATCCCTTGAAGAAGAAAAATGTTGTACTTTTAGTCCAGCAGAAACCAAAACCTAGGTCCTCTTCCACCAACTACTGAAGCATCTGTGTGAGAGATAGCGTGAAAGACCTCATAACTCTTTCTCTAGAAATGGAAGAGTCCATACTTAGGAAATGGTATGGTTATGTGATGGCTTGTGGTAACTCACAAAGTCACCTCACCCAATTCATGAGGAATTACTACAATTCTGCCAATCAAGGCAGATACTCACCTAGAAGAACTAGTTGTCAAGGGTAACAGAAAAGCTTTCCTGTGCTTCCTTAAACAGAACCTTATCCATTTGCTTAGAGTGAGTTTTGAGAAGACTCACTTTACAGAACACTGCTGAAAGGAGATGAATAATCTGTTAGACTCACTGCTAACTTTGTGCCTTTTAAAACTTTTAACTTTTAATACCACATATGTGATCTAGACTAGCAACTCCATGTTTCAATTCCTCATGAATTAAACAATAACCATTTTAAGGTTAGGGTGGTATCTTACAGGCAAAAGAACACAAGTGGAATTTATTCCATATATATAGATTAATTTGAGTTTCATCTTTAGAGGACTAAGTGGAAAGCTTTGAAAATGTGAGGAAATGTGAGACTAGGCTTTGGTTTTGCTAAAACAAAGGGAGAAAAGAAAAAAAAGCTGGTAATACTGCTGCAACTATTTTTTACTGCATTTATTTTATCCTTTTGAAAAAGGAACTCAAATTAACCAACAGTCTGAGCAATAATACACTGTTTAAAATAGCAATACTACTAGAGAAACTATAAGATTCAGGAAAAGTAAGCTACAAAGAACTATGAAAAATATAAAGCAGGAAATACTGTGAGGCCCCATCAAGATCTACTCTTTTCTGCCCCAGTCTCCTAATCCCTAACATCTGGATCCTATAGCTATCATCTCCCAATAACAAATTCAAAAGGGGCTATACTCTTCTCCTTACACCTGTGAATCGTCTGAAGCTCGGCAAGGCAGGGAAACAGAGGTCTCCTGAGTGCATCTTACAACTAGAAGTGACTCAGTTGAGAGAAGGGACAGAAGGAATCAACTCTATGGCTTCATGGCAGGCACCGAAGAAACCAATGTGCATACACTCATGCCAATCATTTTAATCAGAAACTTAGAAATTTGAAGATTTAAGCCTCAATTCCCCTCCTGCTGCAACAGTAGTAATTTATGAATATTTTGGAAATTAGTCAGATGGGATTAGAAAATGAGTTCATGGTCAAACTCTTCATCTTCATCATTTAGCATTACCTTTTTCTAATATCTTCCACTAAAAAAAGTATCTAAATTCTTTACAATGTTACAATTTAAAAATGATAACAGTCCACTGAATGTTTGCCATGTTTCAAATAATATCCTAAGATTATATACATACATTACCTCCCTTAATCCTCACAACATAATCCTATGGCCAATTTACAAATGATAGAACTATGATCTAGACAAGATATCTTGTCCAAAGTCACCTTATTGGGAGAGAAACTATTTTAAACTCACACTATACTCTTTATGCTACACCACCTCCTTTGGGGTCAATATTGATTGAAGAAAAAAAGCATTCGCTCACATTACACTAGTTTACTGGTATAATTTAGATGTTACATGTCCCCCACACATGAATATGTTAAAAGCCTCGGTCCTCATGGTGGCTCTATCAGAGATAGGATGTGAGGCTTTAAAGGAGGTCTTCTGGTGAATGGGACTAATGAGGATTGTAGAACCCCAGACCTTTCCTCTTCTGCTTCTTTGCTATGGGATAAGCAGTTAGTTCTGCATGTTTCCCCACCATTGTCTTCTGATACCCCAACCAAGAGCCTAGAAGCAATGGGTCTGCCCACCTAAAACTATGAGGCAAAATCAAGCCTTTCTCTCTGTAAATTAATTATTTCAGGCATTGTGTTATAGTAACAAAGTTTACTCATGTACCAATCAGATCAACAGAAGCAAATTTTGTTACTAAACAAATTAAGTAAAGCTATACATCCAGTAAATAACAATTGCTCGCAATTCAGTTTTATACCACGTCCCAGGCAGGGCTACACCAGCAAAGGTGTTCTACATATTCACATTAAACATTCTTTTAGCTATACTCACATCAGAACAGCAATCCTTCCTAACTAAGGAGAGATCACCCAATAGAATGTCCCTTCCCCACTTGGAAAATGAAGACAATATAACATCTTTTAAAGTGATCAATGTGAGAACCAATATATTTGTTAAAAACAGTGTGTTTCTCTGTCTCATGCCATTCTAAACAGCAGCAGCAAACTGCCCAAAAGAAAAAGGAAAGCTATGTAGGCAGGAAAAGATTTCTACCTTACTCTATAACCTTAAGAAAAATCACAAGCCTTAAGCAGTTTACTGGCAATGCATTTGAGAAATGGCTTACATTTCAACTTTAAAAGGGATTATACGTACTTGAATTAAGAAAAACAGTTAAGGCTGGGTGTGATGCACATGACTTTAATCCCAGTACTCAGAGGGCAAAGGCAGAGGCAGAGGCAGGTGGATCTCTGTGACATTAAGGCCAGCCTGGCCTATATAGCATTTCCAGGTCAGCTGTGGCAACAGGTGAAAACACCAAATATATATAAAAACCTATGCAGGAGGTCCAGACTACTTAATTCTCCAGTCCTTCAGAAGGTACAACATAAGAAGCAAGAGGCCCAAGAGGGACCAATACTTTAAGAACTCCAATCACTGGTTATGACCAGTTTCAAAATAAAAGTGCCCAAAACTGTCTTATATACCAAAGCCATGCTTAAACCACATATATAAATTATGAAAATATATCTTAACAGCACTTTTGCAAAGAACCATCTATCATTTACCCTAATTCTTCTACGTAAATAATGAGATGATCAAAATAAGGTGCCCACTATGAGAAGCTGCCCCACCACAAACACATGTAAAAGGTAGTGGGCACCTTGTCTCCTGAGAAGGCAGAATTTCCTAACATGCCCAGCCTCCACTGCATCAAAGAAGCACACTCCCTATCTTCCCCTAAAGTGACAATTTTATTTTTAAACTCTATGGTCTAGTCTACATTTGTGCACAATAATCATTTTGTACATGTATATTACATAACTCCCAATACCTTTTTTTTTCACTTCATAAAAAGGATTAAAAAGTATAAGAATGTGGGGCTGGAGAGATGGCTCAGCGATTAAGAGCACTGACTGCTCTTGCAGAGGACCCGGGTTCAATTCCCAACACCCACATGGCAGCTACAAACCGTCCTTAACTCCAGTTTCAGGGGAATCCAAAGCCCTCTTCTGACCTCAGAGGCATTGCATGACACAGGTGCACTCGTACACATAAAATAAAAATAATAAAATGTTAAAAAAAATAAATAAAAGTATAAGAATATGCCAGCAAGATGGCTCAGAAGGTAAAGTCCTTGCAGCAGGAGCCTGGCAATCTAACTTTATTCCGGGAACCCTAAGAAAAGGTGGCAAGAGAAAACAACTCCACAAAGTTGCCCTTTAACCTCCACATGCATATCATGGCACACACACACTCCCACCACAACATACACACACAAGACAACAACAAATAAAATTAAATTTAAAAGTTTAAGAGTTTAGCATCTGGAAAAAAAGACAAATCAGATCCATTCCTTCATTATCCAAGAGAATAAACCAAATGGACTAACAGAAAAAAATACAAACCTTCAAAATAAGCAGAAGAAAACAGAAATGAATCCTTTAGAACATAAGTGTTGGAAAAATTTTGATATGGCAAGGAAGCAACCACTATCAAAGTCAATAGATAGCTAACAAGTGGGAAGCAAATATTTGCAACATGTTACAGGAAAACTAAAGAGTATATGCTAAGACCTCTAAGAAACCACATTTAAAAATGAAGGGGGAGAACAAATAATTCTATAGAAAAATGAAGACATGAAAGTCAATTTAGAAAAAATGTGTACAGTACCCCTTAAAATATAAAAAGCTATTAAGACTTCACTCATAATAAATATAAATTAACACTACATTGAGATGCCATTTTCACCCAACAAACTGGCAAAAAGAACTTCAGAAGTTCAACAATATATTCTTAGTAGTAAGACTGTGGGAGAACAGGGACTCTCTTAAGCGGTTGACAGAAATCCAAAACTGTATAACGGCGAATTTAGCAGTATCAAGTAAGACTACATATTCCCTTCAAGCCAACAATCCTACTTCGAGGAATTTATACTAAAGCTATATCATCAACATTACAAAGGTATATAGAGGTTCTGAGTATAAGCATTATTCTAGGGTATAAAATATTGAACATGATCAACATCCCAGAACAGGAGATTATTTAAACAAAATATATAATTTTAAAAAAAGTAAACATTACAACTATAAAAGAGAAGGAAGATGGGCTGGAAATGCAGCTTGGTGGTAGAGTGCTTGTTTGAGCCCCAGCACCATTACCAACAACAAAAGAATGTAGACAATCTCTGGATGGGAAGTGATTTCTAGGAAATACTGTTAAGTGAAGAAAACAAAGTTGGAAACAACACATAAAGTATCACACATTTTATGTAAGAAGTATGAATAAAAAATGTACACACATCAGCTGGTCACCGCTGAAGGTAGGGGCAGGACTGAAGGGCTGTAAAAGACAGCCACGCTTCTTTAGTACACCTTACCACAGAGCTGTGAATTCTAGAGGAAAGTTAACTTTCTACATATTTAAAAAGCAAAATAATAGGGGCTGGAGAAATGGGCCAGTTGTTAAGAGTAGTGACTGCTCTTGCAGAGGACCCAGGTTTGATTCCCAGCACATACATCCATCAGTAATTCCAGTAATCCCAGAAGCTAACATCCATCAGTAATTCTAGTTCCAGGGGATCTGATGCCCTATACTGGCCTCCCTAGGCACTGCATGACATGGGTTCATGCATGCATGCAAAACACACACACACACACACACACACACACACAAATTAATTTTTAAAAACATCAAAATAATAAACAAGAAGTAATGGCAAGGGCAGGGATAAAAATCTAAAATGCAGAGCAAACTAGAACAAATGAATCCAAGGGAACTTTAAATGGTTCCAGGTAGGTATTTCAGTTGATTGTGAGATTTCTTTTTTGCCTACTGCATTTGATATTTTTGTATACCCTTCCATCACTGAGAACCCTGGTTCTTAGCAGCAGATTCGCTCTTGCTCATTTCTATAATATGTCTAACATAGTTTCAAAATTGGCTTTGCCCATGCCACTGGGGCAGGGCGGGGGGAATCCTAAGAACAATTTAAGAAACATTTTCAACTCTGTCCCTTGCCTAAGGAGCAATAAGGTCAAATATTGTGTTGGCTTTTTTTCCTCCTTCATTTAAAGTTCCCTTGGGTTCATTTGTCTGCATTTTAGATTTTTATTTCCTGCCCTTGCCATTACTTTATTATTTTGATGTTTTTAAAAACTTAATTGAATTCATTATTCATAGTCATGATTTCTAATAAATCTATGTGTATATATGTATATGTATGTGTGTGTAAATGTACAGACACAGGAGTGTATATAAGCATTTGCTTTTGTATTCACATGTATATATACATGTGTATTTCCTTGCTTACCCTCCAAAGGGGGATCCAATGCCCTTTTCTGGCCTCTGGTATACATACAGAAGTAGGCAAAACACTCATACACATAAAATAAAATTTTAAAATCTTAAAAACAAAAAAGAAGAAATGCATATAGAAGCATTTTCCAGAGAGGAATGTAATGAATCTTTCAAATGATGCACGAAGAAAATAAATACAGTAACATGGTAAGGCAAATGAAGCCAAATGTAAAAACAGCTTAAGCTAAGGTAGAATATATGGATATTCTTTGCTCTTGTAATGTTTAATTTATTTATTTATTTTTATTTTATGTGTCTCAGTGTTTTGCCTGCATGTATGTAAGTGTACCTGTGTTGTGCAATGCCTGAGGAAGCCAGAAGAGGGAGTCAGATTCCCTGGGACTGGAGTTATGGATGGTTGTTTGCCACCATTTAGGTGCTGGGAACCCAACCAGGGTCGTCTGCAAGAACAGCCAGTGCTTTTAATTGCTGAGCCATCTCTCCAGCCCCCTCTTGTAACTTTGTAATAAACTTGATTAGTTCCAATAACAAGGTTAAAATGTGGGAGAAGGCATTTAGCATAATAAAGATAGGAAAGAAAAACAGTGTGCTGGATGCTTTAGCTATCAACTTGACACACCTGGGCTGAGGAAGCCTCAGTTGGAGAATTGGCCTCCATTGGACTGGCCTGTGGCCATATCTGATGTGCATTTTCTTGATTGTTGAGTAGAGTGGTGACACCCTTAGGCAGGTGGTCCTGTATTGTATAAGAAAGCAGGGTGAGGACAGGCCAGTGGAGACCAAGCCAGTAAGCAGCATTCCTCCATGGCCTGTGCTTCTGCTTCTGTCTCCAAGTTCCTGTCCTGAGTTCCTACCTTGGGTTCCCTCAATAATGAAATGTGACAAGGAGATGTAATTTAAATAACCCCTTTCCTCCCCAAGTTGGTTTTGGTCAGAGTGTTTTGTCATAGCAACTGAAAGCAAACTAGAAAAAGTAAGTGTGTTGAGAGTGGGATATATAGACACATTTTGGGTAGGAGAACAAAAACTCAGTGACCTAATTAAAAAACAAATAACTAAAAATCTTTCCCTCACCTAAAAATCTCTTGACCAGAGATTTTTTCCTGCTTCTTCCTAACCACATATGGTCATATTCCTGAAGTTAAATTAGGTATGACAGCTGGCCTAATATAGAAAGAGGCAGCTCTGAAACAGCACTTAAGAGTATGAACTTTGGAGTCTCGAATTCAGCTTGAGTCTGAATCCTGTATAGCCCTGGCCAATCACTTAACCTCTCCTGTGCAGTCATTTCCTCAAGAAGATTTTTTAAAGTGTTTTCATATTAATTGTCATAAGAATTAGAATGTATAACCATACTTTACTAAACAAACAATAGCTTTGCATCCTCAACACTCCTAGAAAAGATGGATACAGAGACACTAACCAAAGCAGAACCATAGTGTGGTTAAGTCAGACAAAATTACATCAGAGTACTACAGAAGGGCACTATCAAGCAAGAAAACAATGTGAGGCAAGAAAAACTTCACAATCAGGCAATGCTAACTTGGAATTTCAACGCTTCTATAGTTGGGGACCATCCCAATGACAGTAGAAAGTGCCCAGGTTATGGTCTCAACAGCCAGGTTCTAACCTACTGCTTTTATTTTCATGCTCACTTTTAAATTTCCAGAAACTGAATCAAAGATACATTATTTCTTCTCTATCCAAATATATGGTTCTTTATTTAAAAGCATGAATACTTTTCATTTTTGGTTTATCATTCTTCCCCCAAGCGTTTTCCTAATTAAATAGATTATATAGTTTTATAACATTTCTACAATGTATGGCACTGCAAGACATCTACTGTGAAAAACTTGGCCTAATGCTCCCCCCAGTGGTTTATTTGGAATAAAACACAAAATTCTACCAACATCTATGAAGTGGCAAAATGTTAAACATTGGCTATTACAAAAGTACAAGAAAAGATTAATCTGTCCATTCAATCTCTCATCAAAAACATTATTATATTCACAGCTATAAACACGTAACATCTCTACAGTAGTTTAACACCTGAATTATAATACCTGTTCCAACAAATGGATCAAAGACAATATCATTTTCTTTCACTTTTGCATGGTTGGCCATGATGAATGATAAACCAGCATCCATACTTGTATTTCCAATAAAATGTCTTTTTTTGACACTATATGACTCAATTAGCTCTCTTTGTCCATCTGCAATCTAGATCAGAGGTATTTTTCAAATTAGTATAACTACACAGAACAAATTTAAGATAATCATTCACAATAACACCACAGCACCTTGCTAATGAGAACTTTTTTCCACTTACTACTGTTCTGAACTTACTCCTTTAAAATCAGGTGATTGTAATTGTTACAGACAAATCTATTTTATTTCTTTAATGCCTTTCCATTTCTTTGCCCTTCCAAACCAAGTACAACTCAAATTTAAATATTATTATTCCAGAAGCTGGTGCAAGCTTTTCTTTATCCTACATGACAATAAACTATTACATTTGTCTCAGCTTCCATCATCCATTATAGCCTCGAAAAAGTGGACAGAACCAGTCTATCCCTTCATTTCCTCTGAGAATGGAAGAGCAGATTTGAGCTCCCCACAAATGGAGACTCCTGACCTAAAACGGCACTTCAGTTTCTCTCTGCTTTGTTAAAATAACAATGCTGATATTCTGGCCAATCTTGCACCAAGTAATGCCCTTTCTCCTAAGTATCATATCTAGCAAGCTGCTTCTTTTTCAAAGGAATCTCTGGAAAAATATAAATCCTGACCACATAGTGTCCAGCAATTTTAATCCATATAGTAGTTCTGCTTCAAAATTCTACATATATATATGCATATGTGTATATATATATATATGTGTGTTTGTCTGTCTGTCTTAGGTATACATAAATACTGCACATACCATATTCAATATTATTTCTATTTG